CTCATGAACTTCCGGTTGGTGTGCACGATAAAGAGCATGGGTGCCACTGTCAACCTCAGCGGGGCGACATGTGACTTAATAGAATGAGATGAGAAACTATGTAAAGAATGCTCTGACGCTTTGATGAGCTCCCATACCTGCTGCGCAAGAACCATCTCAATCACGGAGTCAGGGACGTGCATTACATGTTGATGTTCTCCAGTGTTTTCCAAGCTGCATGGTCGCCGGGAGGCTGAACCTTACTGCTGCACAGCAAGACAGCCTGCCCGCAGGAACTTGTTGCCTATCGCCGAAATCCGAATCAGCAAACCCAGAACGACAAAGCGATACGAACCAACATGAAAATCTGTTCTCACGGCGTATCCAAGGGCCTCGAGCCCAAGCGCACAGCAAAGACCTGGGCGGAACCGGGTGGGTTCTAGGGTTTGAGGTTTAATTTGTTGTTTCGGGCGCATGGCCGTGGGTTTCTAGGGTTCAATCGCGGGTCTCAAGTCCTTGGGAAGTTTTGCTGGACTGTTTCAATTTTCGTGTGTACACTGCGCATTCGCGATTTCTGTTGTTATCTCTGATCTGCTTCTTTGCTTCTCACCTGCTTTTCTATGGCCTTGCTCAGCATTACAATACTCGAACAACGACAACTGACTCCCCCCACGAAAAGAAAGCTTAAGTTACTCTGTCTGGCTTCAACTGCTGTGAGAAGACGGAAACTGCCTTGTCTCCCGAACCCTGTAAAGTGTACGTTCGATTGGCAGATTGTTCACAAATTGACGATCTCGCACTGCTTTCTGTGCGTTAGCGACGCCGCAGTCTTTCTGCCCCACTCTTGCATGCATGTGCATATGTGTATATATGTCTGTCCGTCCGTCCGTCCGTCTGGACGTTCGTGTGTGTCCACACACAAACGGACGGCCCCGCTGAAAACTATGACCACCTGATCGTGAACAGACTCCCACTTTCGCAGTGGAAGCTCAAGACCCCAAAGCGGCAACATACATTTGGCACCATTTGCTCTCAAGGCATCAAGTCGCAAAACAGAAGATGCCACCCCCAAGATAGCTGCCCAACATCAGCAGGAAGGCCTGACCTGGGGCTTAGCAATCCTGGATGAGATTTTTAGAGCTCGGGCTGAAGCTTGAGAACCTGGAATAGCTGCTGCTGCTGCTGCGGGTGTCTACAGATACTGTTGGGCATCTGTCTGAACAGAAAGGGTGGCTCGAAAGATGCGTTTACTTTCAGATGAGCGGGTCGTGGCTTGAAAGAAACCATGGACTGTTCTACGCGTAACTCACATATCTTGGGGCTTGAAGTTGGGGACTGCCTGAGTTGCTCCGCTTGCTAGTGAGTGCAGCTACTATGGCACCTTTTGTTTCGACAAGTAATACCGGTGCTGTTGCTGCTTCTTTGTCAGCAGGTGCAGATGGTGGTGGTGGTGCTGGTGGTGCTGGTGGTGGTGGTGGTGGTGGTGGTGGTGGTGGTGGTGGTAGTGGTGGTCGGGGTGGTGGCGTGGTGGGTGGGTGCGGCGGCGGCAGCAGTGGTCCAACAGTAGCACAATCACGACGACGAAAGATGTTGAACAGCCTTGGGGGAGATAGCATGTCAGTGTTCAAATCGTGTCCGCAAATGTAACGGTCAGACTGCTAATCAACCTTCAATCACAATCCAAACCGACATCACTCAACAACATCAGACTGGGCTGCAAACAGTAAGACAGAATCGGATGAAGGTATAGAGCGGCATGTGGACCCATGCACAAGCACATAGCAAGCCCTGACTACCCGAACCGAGCCACAATCGGTCATAACTGCAGAAACAATGTGCGCGTAGCGAGAGTTCTGCCCATCTTGGCAGGGACTATGTGGTACCGGCAATAGGCCATGGTTCTTCATTGTCAAAGCAAACCCATTCGCACCAGCCGGGACACATCGCCTTTAGTAATCCAGCACCACTCACAAATCTAGCCCCAATGCTCTGGGCATCCGCCCAACCCCGCAATGGTGAAACGTCCTCACTACTACGGACACAGCAATCCTGTCTCCAAAGTGAAGCGTGGGACCTTGCCTCCCTTGGACCTGCTTGTGGTGTCCGTGGGTCGGCTCAAAAGTAGGAATACCATCTCCCTACACCATAGCCCGATGTAGCACCCTTTAAAAAGCCCGAACTTCCATGCCATGTCCGAACCGATTTTCCATTGGATTCTAAATCACCCTGTAAACGCATTGTTCCCTTTGAGTCTACATGTGTTTTGCTGAAGCTCAAGCGAGCGGCGCTCTACAAAGAGCGGCTTCACGAGCAGCTGCCCGTCAGGGTTAGCCTTGGCTCAAAGTGCGCATGCTACTGGTGTTGCAGGGGCCCCTTTAAGGAATAGGTACGACTAGAGGGTATTTTGAGAAAGCGGATGCGGTGCTGCCTCAACGATCTCGGTGTCGTACTAAATCGGACTTGTGCCAGAATCGAAGCAAAATAGACGCTGTGGTGAGAGCGGTGTGGCAGTAATGGGAGATGTAGAACAGAAGCGCAGGGGAAGCTTCGCCTAATTGTAGAGGTACCCCTACGCGATCGTACGAGCACAAGCATTAGGGCTTCTAGCACATCAGCGCCGAATACTGCGTTATGCTCGCCCCATTCGCAAGTTCTCACCTGACAGCGTCTCTACACCCAAAAGCGCTCTCATCCCTAAACCCACAACCCCATCTGCCCCAAGCCCACGCAACTTTAGTTTGCAGGTCGGAAGCTCGTCTGCACTCGTCTTGCTTGATGTACGTGGCGGGGTTGGGGCTTGTGTTTCAGGAGCTTGTCTTCCCTGTTCCCTTGGGCTCGAAGATATGCTGTCACTGTTGGGTGGGACCCTGCATACTCTCTCCATCTGCATCTGTTTCGGCTCCCCGTGCGAAGCTGCCACATGCACCTTAAGAGCAGGCTGAGCTCCCCAATTCATCCGCGTCGCTTTGCGAAAAGCGGCAAGTTCAAAGACACACCATAGTCGAGCCCTTTGAGCGCATGTTTCGCATGTTTCGCTGTAAG